TATATATATATGATTATTCTCCTATTTTCTTTCTTTCACCATGCAACAGGTGCAGGACTTCTGTAAATTGTCTGCTATCTCTACTTAGAACATTTAAACACACAATTTTTCCGCATCATATAAAATCAGGCTTACAACACTGCCGCTTTATTTGTTTCTATGCGATAAGTTTTATTAAGGCATTTCATTTAAATTCAGTACACACAGTTTCGCTGCATAGAAAAACTAAACTCAACACTATAGCTGCCATCTTCATGCGTAAAATTCGGGCGTAAATCTGGCATTTAAGTATAATTTTAGAGTTAAATTGCGGTCATATTTATGCTGTGTCTGCGTGTCAAAACAACACATTTAAATTAAATCACATTAAAACGCAGGGGATACTGGTTCTTGAAGTCTGTTCGCAGATTCATATAATTATTCAATTCATAAATTATTTTATTCTTCTCAGAAAACAGATCTCAGTACTGAAAAGTTGGTGTGTAACCTCTCGATTAGAATTTCAGTGTCGTTTCCCCCCCACGTTTGTAACTATGTTTACTTAGTTTTAATTTCAAAATATTCTTCCCTAAATTTTATTTAGTCTCAGAGCTTTCAGATTTGCTTACAAACCCGTAATAGTTCAGATTTTTACTTTTTCTTTAAAAATAACAACGACAGTGGCAATTAATTTCATTCGTTTCAGCACCATGGACAGAGACTCCCCTTTTCTCTTTTTCTTTGTGAAGTTCAGTCTTTGTACTTTTCGTGATAAACATTAAAATTCAAACACACTCTGCAGCTTTGTTCTTTTAATTTACTTTTACTTTTTTGTTTTTCACCTTTTTGCTATTATTATTATTTTTATTTAGTAGGGAAAAAGCAGAAAGAAGCAATCATTTCACCCCTTGATATCACCGAATCCATACACCGTAAGTCATATGTGACTTTAGCAAACGGTATAAACAAATCACCCCTGAGAGTGTATTTTATTCTAGTCTATTTTATTTACTTTATTTATAGTATAAAGGCTAAAACGGAGAGGTGATAAGGATAAGATGGGGCATGAAAATAGAATCGAATAGGATAGAAAAGAATACTCTGAGTGAAGGTAAGAGGTTCAATTGGTTGTCCTGAACACCTTTACTGTACTTCATGTCTGACAGGACGTGACGCAGTCAGGGGGCGGGCTCAGATGCATCAACTCGAGCCTGATGAAAGCAGAACTGAGAGTCAATCAGAATTAACGCACAGTACAAGCATTTTATTTTAACAGAGAAAGACAGAAAGAAAAAGGAGACACAGACGCACACACAATGATAGTTACGACTTACAATTCTCAGCAAAGCTTTTAATTCACTTATTTCCAAAAGAATAACAGTTATTACTTTTTTAGATAAAGAATAATTGGCTTGTTAAGTTAATTGAAAAATTGAAAGTTATAGCATTTTTAGTAATAAAAAAAGACAAAAAAATAAAATAAAGCATAATAAAAACTATTTCCTTATATTTTAGTGTCGTAAATTCGGCGCGTTGGTAGTTAAAGAAAAATGTGAATTTGTGGAGTTTTTTTTTTAATTTG